GATGGCTAATACGGATTAGTTACAACATAATCTTCACGGGAAAAGTGTATGATCCAGATCTTTCGAGAATAAAGTTGCTCTTCATACTTAAATACTTGCTCAAAATGCTCATCCAATTTTGAAATTGAAGCTATCGCTAACAGTTTGAGGAGAGCTTCTAGATGAAGACTATTAGGCTTCTTTATAGTCAGGTTGTAATAAAGATGATGATAGTCCCCGTCATCATAAACTTGTTCGAGGTGTTACTGGCCAATGATCTCATATCCATGAATCTTCCTTAGCCAATTCACTAGGACTCAGTACATCTCTGCATCGTACGTACTTTCTCTTGGAACTTTGATATAATGTTCAGAATTCACATACAAATGATTGGAACTTTTATATGAGCGAGAGGATCCTAGTGCTATTATGCCTTGGTCAAAATCATGTACTGCAGTCTTTAAAATCTCCAAAATATCTATAGATTTATCATCTCATAATGAAATATCTGCAGGAGCATCCAAAACTTTGCTAATATTCATTTTTTAGCGATAGGGTGGAAGAAACTAATGAATCTGACTTTGAGGAGACCGGCTTCTCTATTATCTCTTCTTGCAGGTTAGAAGTATTGGCTAAAGATTTGTGACCTTTTTTTCCACTAACCTATATAAAAATAAACCCCCTCAGTAATAAGTATCATCATTGGGGAAAATGAAATAAAAAAAAATAATATTTTTCAGAATAGTAATACTAGAAGTAACGACTATATAAGGTGGTTCCTATATGAACCCCATCTGCTCAAACACAGAATATTACTCAGTATACTTTTATCAAAAAGAAGGTACATAACCGAATCCTCCTCCAGAAATAGTAGACCTTTAATAAAAAGTATCGCCAAATAATTTCACAACATCTAACAGAATGAATATGTTAAAGTACTGCAATAACCGAGGGCTTATATATTTTCAAGCGAAAGCTTCTTATACCTAACATACCATATCTGAAAAAATGTGTATTCGGATCTGCAAAATAGAAACACATACTGTATCTTCTTCTTAAGTAAGAGATTTCTAACAACTTCATTAATCTCCTGCGAGACTATCAGATCATCACGGAAAATATATAAAGTATTGTAAAATACCGTATGTGCCACATTTCTTTTGGTAAGCCCAAACATATTAGTTGACCAGGATATGAAATGCTGAAGAGATCATATTTCACATGGAAAGAGCCAAAAGTATTCGATTTTACCTTTTTCAGAAGCTCTTGATTTCTCTCTAAATATCTTAGCTTATTTTTCAAGCTTCATGGCAGGTCCCCGTTTCATACCATCCTTCATAAACTTTTTTTTAATCATGTCTGAAAAGATCTGACCATCTATTTTCTCTTTACGAAAGATCTTGAAATCGTCCTCATTGAGATTTATGTTCAGGTCATGTAAAAAATTAATGAGGGTCTCAGTATTCCAGTTTTTGGCCAACGTGGAGCGGTTTGAAAAAGTTGTAGAAGTAGACATGTTTATTAAGCTTGTTAGAAGTAGAAAACCCCCAAAAAATAAGAAATACGTATAACAAACTTACCTTCTATGATATATGGCCTTTTATAAATAAGAAGAGACGCACTAGAGTTTATTTTTTGGTAAGAGACGCGTATATTTATATTTTGTAATAATGCAGGTAATACAGATTGGCATATTGCTATTTTAGTATGATTAATATTATACCACTTGAAAGCTAATCTAGGATAGGTAGATCATAATTTTTATTCTGCATAAACCTGCAGATAGTACATTTTACTAGAATTTATGTCGTATATGCCTATATGCATTGGCCATGAGACATTTTGCATGGCTGAACAATATATTATTTTATTATGATAATATTCGGGATTTGAGTCAAGGACTGATCTAGAAAATTTGGTAGGTAATATATTTCATGTATAGCATTTTTGGCCTATTATACTAGGCGATCATATATGCAGATTATATAGCTACTCATTTCACAAAAAAAAATAAAGTATAATATATGATATTAATCTTCAGCTGAAAGTAATAGTCAGAATCAGTTAGTTAAACTACTGTAATTTCTGTCCCATCCCCCAATCTCAACACAGTGCCTTTTGGCTGATTTATATACAGAGATGATATAAATAATTTGTCTGTATTACTTTTACAATTCGATGATTGATAAGAAGTTGGTGAAATCATTTCTTGCCTGGTAGGTGAAATATAAGCTGGCTCGAAATTTGGAGCACTGAGCATAGTATTTTCTGCTATAGTTGCTTTAGCCGAAAGGTAAGCTTCATAGCTGACTGAACGAGCATCATAATCATATGATATTGATGTCGATTTATCCTTTTCTGAGTGTGAGGTAGATGGGAAGAAAAGCTCTAGACGGAGACGATTAAGTTTAGCCTCTTCTTGTAATATATATTGTTTATATATTCAAATAGTAGATTCTCTTTCATCAATAGATTGGAGAATTTCTTTTCTTCTTGCATGTTCGTTTGAAATAATATCTCTATTAATATATCTCTTAAGATAGTTATCTCAATAGCAAGTTTCTAAACGAGAAGTTTCAGGTATGAAAACTAAGGAGTCACATATACTACAATATATATAATTGAATGTAAGACCATAGACTCTATCACTGCTTTCAATATGTTTTCCATTCATTGTAATGTATCCATTCTTAGAAAAGATTTTTGGATTCTCTTCTAGTATTTTTCTAAATAGAACACAAATGCGAGAGCACCATATTTCTGGTGTTTCATAATCATATTGATCACGTAAAAGACCTAATTCTCCAGATATTCTTTAATATTCTTTAAAATTTACATTATCAAGTCTAACTGAACTAAGCTTATAATAGACACTACTATTTAAAATCCATATTAGTGTTTTAATAGATTATAACAGATTATAATGATTTTATAATATTTTAGCGATTTTAGCTGATTTAGCAATAATATACTATAATAAAACCATATTTATTTTTATAAGTAACTTTATCGATTTGTAGCTGATTTAGTGAGACTGCGTATGCTAAACTCAAATTCATTTTTTTATTCGATTACAGGCATATCGGGATTATATAGGGCAATCTCTCAGCTTATATTTATATGTATATCCACAGCGCCTAGCTAAATCGGTTTGTGGCATGATGTATATCATATTTCATGTATCACCCTAGTTCCCTGTGCGAAGCGCCTATGGCCCAGTTCCTCAATAGTTCCTCGATAGTTCTAGGAATGTTCCAGGAGCTGGCGAGTTCTCAAAATCACGGGATGATCAGCCAGTCAGATTTTCTGTAGCAACTAAATACGGATAATTATATCTCCTATTTTTTCTGATGATAGAGTCTAGACACGCAGTCCGGGCTCGTCAAAATTGTGCAGAAACATCCGGTTAAATTTATCTCCCGAAATCATGATAGTAAAGTCTGGGACTGCTTGTCCAGGATTGCGCATAAGCAGGATCAGCATCCGGTTAAATTTATTTTCTGAAATAGCCTATAGCATGGTAGTAATTAAACACAGTGTCCAGCTCGGCGAATTATTTTGTACACATATGCTATCTCTGCAGATCAATTGATCAAGGGAGGAGAAAAATGTGATTGACTGACCAGCGATTAAGAAAACTACATACGGTTAATTTTGGCAGTTTAAAAAGATTCGGTTAAATTTATCTTCCGAAAATATGATGGCAGAGTCTGGACTGCTTATCCAGGCTTGGCAAAATTGCGTAAAAGCATCAGGCTAATTTTATATCCCAAATTATGTTCCACAGATTACGGCTAAACAATCTGGGAACTATTTTCCAGGTGGTTGAGTCTGGACACACTGTTCGAGCTCGTCAAACAGAAGAATGTGAACGCAATAGTTTAAAATAATCATGTAAAATACTTTATTAAAACAAAGCATAGACCATTCTATTGATTATTAGAATACATTTTCAGATGGCCGAGGCTGGACAAGCTGTCCGAGTTCGTCAAACCTTATGCATTAAGATTTCAGCCATTACATATTTGGTTTCATCCTTAGTTATATTTAAGACATATGATGGAAGGATAGATCTAATCTGGGCTATCCTTTCTTTACCTATGGACTATGGTATTAAAAAGCTTACACATCTTTTTGGATCTCTCTGTCCTTTTTCGTAAAGCTTCATCAGAGCATTTTGTTTTGGGAATCGCCTTCCTAACCTCTTTTTTAACTATCACTTTAGATCCATCCTTACCATGCTCAGGTTTTAATTCCTTGTATCGTTTAAATATAGCTTCACCAAAATCAAAATAGCTGTGAATAAGACCTCTGTTAGAAAAAAAATCATGTGATTTTAAAAAACTGTTACCAATGGTAACGATTGAATTTGCCATGAAATTTTTATTTGCTGGTATATACTTATCCGCACGAAAAAAAATAATTGACCACCAGAGTCGTTTTGTTGATACAGAATACATAAATTACGTGATTTGTCTCGTAGCCATGAATCATACTTTACAAAGTAAAATTGCGTTTTTATACTAATGCCTGCGGACCACACCGTCTATACTAACACAATCTGTTCCAAATGATCAAATGTTTTGGATAGAATGGTTGTCAGTTATGCTTATGTGAGAAATACAATATCAGAAATAAATCAATATTAACCTTAGTAAAACACTGCCAAAAATTACAAATACCCAAAATGTTCATCAGAAATATCACCGTACCTTATTTGCGTAATCATTATGTTCAAGCTTTCTTTTCAAGTATTTATCTCCGGCACTTCTTCATACTGCAGGTAAATAAATACTAATCACACAGTATAAAAAATCAGAAGTACAGTACAAATCATGTAATTCAGATACAATCAGTAAAAAAGGTTAAGGTCAAAGTAAAATCATTTATTGTGTTTTTTTATTTTAGAATGTCAATAAATACTGTATATGTTGCATATGAGCAAGAAAATTTATTGGTAATAAAATTCATAACCAGAATTATATAACAGATTTTATTTATACATCAACAATTTAATTCCTCTAAAATCTTTCAAACCAGAAAGAACATTTCCTTTTGACATTACGAGTATTACTAACAAGTTGGTTGAAGTTTAGTATAGATAAAGTCTCACATTTAAATGACGCTTTCATCATTATTTCTTTTGGATTACATAATTTATTATAAAATTTAACAAATGATTCTCGAAAGATATTATGTATTGTCAGAAAAATTTCTACGTCATCAATAAAATGCGTCAATGTCTTTACTGAAGTAGGGATCGAAGCTTGGCCAATATGATATATGAAATATAGCCCTGAAGCACTAAGTTCCATAGCATAAAAATCAATAGAATATTCTAGAAGAGCAAATGACGAAATTATTTTAGGAATTACATGAAAAAACAAAGCAACTATTATTTTAATTTATCCTACCGATGCATTGAAATCCCAAAAGTTTGATGTCTGCACCTTTATCTATAGCCGAATCGATGCACTTTTTCATAAAAACTCCAATGCGAATCAGATCGTTGCAATTCTTGTGTACGTTTCCTTTTTCTGCAGGGGAGGTTACTTCACCTATAAATAGCATTCTACTCGTTTCCAATTGATGGATTGCTGATACTAAGAAATCAGGCTGTCTAGCCCTGCCTTCTAATTTTCTAGCTTTAGATTCCTTGAGACCTGTGTTAGGCCATTCAACTCTGTGTTTATCGGGCTGATGAAGTAGTCCTTTCATAATATAATCCAAATAATTAACAATAAGTGTCATTTCACTTGGTTGACTTTTTAATTTCAGACTAGGCAACGACCTCAATCCTTCTAAAATATAAATCCCAGGTTTTCTTTCAAATTACTTTTAGGATTTGCTAAGTATGCTAGTAATGAGTCAATGGCATTATCTCGTGAATCATTGATTGCCTGTTTTATGACTTTCCTAAATTTAGATTCACATTCTGCATCAAGTTTCCATTTATTTGTTGATGAGAATTTTTTAACTATTTTGTCTAATAAGTTTGAACCAAAGATATTCATCATCATTTCAGAGTGAGAGTTTTGCGAAAGCATGAAAATTGAGGTCAAAGCTAGAATTTCGTGAACATTTATCTCAACATATAAATCATCCGAATTAGCAAGATTAATTGATTCGTTTTGATATCGTCAAAATAACTCTGATATATTAAGTCCTTCGATAAGAAAATCATCTTCAGGATTCCTGTTCACTAAAGGTAATGTATGAACATCTCTTATAACATTAATTTCATCGTTGTCACTACCAAAAACTGAATCGGTTGCCAGAGAAAGTAGTCTTTCCATTTTGGATGAAAATGGCGAGTATGATGGTGATGTCATGTCATCAGGGTCGTCGAGAGTTGATGTGTATTCGTCTTGTCCTTCAGAACTTGAATATTCAGAACTTGAATTAACATCATCAGATCCTTGCTTTCTTCTTTTTGGATCATCTACATTATCAACGGTAGTCTCAGCGATTGGTGTTAAAGTATTCTTCTTCAGTTTTCAATTTGTATATTCCTCGTGATGATCAAAGCTATTTTTCAAAAGCTCGGCAGAAGTTGTGACCTAACAGGCGAACAAAATCAATTAGTCATAGCTCGAATGTTACATGTACAAAAAAGGACTTACGGATTTGGTATGTACTTCGTCTTCAGCGTATTTACGTTTTTTTTTGTTAACATCAAATGTATCGGCCATTTTTCTCCTAGTAATTACAGTAAACAGTTCCTCATCGATCAACGAACTGGAAAGATATTTTATAGTGATAAGATTATCATACTAAAGGCAGGTCATTTGTTCTAAATCTAGAGAGTCTGTGTGTTTAAAGAAATGCTTGTGTGACCAAATTTTAAGGGGAAATTTCTTAAAGTAATGAGAAACAGTGGAGTTCACAGGAGCGAAGTAATTATCAGCACTCATGAGTAATGCAAGACTAACGTGAAATTAAGATCAAAGATCAGTAAAATTGACTATTATAAATAAAATCTAACCAATCAGAAAATGCATGCGACTAACCTAAAAAAGATCATCAATATTGCATCTTTCTTTTTCTGCAATTGCGTGGTAAAAGAGTGGTTATCACTGGCCGTCCATGCAGTAACAACTCTTTCTTTTTCCGCAATTGCATGGTAAAAAGTAATTATCACCGGCCTAAATACCCGTTCTTGCTCTTCACTCTTGACGCAGTATATTACCGTCCATGCATTTGCAATTCTTCTTTTTTTCTGAATATTGCCCTTGTGAATTTTATAGCTTTGATTGTGACAAATTATAATAGTTTTCTGCCAGAAATTTATTTTTCGATATGAGTGATATTAAAAAAGGCCTAATAATATAATATGGAGTAAGCGAAATATATGACATGCTTTCAAGGGAGGGAAGAGAGTATGGTCATTTAGCCATTTAATACGAGTTCCCTGCGTTAATATTAATTCTTTTCTCTCTGAAAAATTACTATAGCTAACTTATTTCTGCGAAAATTTTCACCTATCTATATTATAAGCCCTAATACAAAATCTGGATGATCTTTCAGTTAAAAATAAATCCCATATATTGGGCGAAACTATTAAATTTTCCAACGCCTTTTGGCTCGGCTAAGAAATATTAGACCGAAGGAGATTGCAAGCGAAACAATATGATGCTATCAAAGAGGGAGGGAGTACGCGGATCCTAGGTCATTTAATGCGAGTCTCAGCATCAATTTCTTTGCTCTTTCAGGCTTTTTATAAACTTCTACACCTAATTTATTTCTATCACTATTGCTAACTACGAGATTCTCACCCCATACTCTTTTATTATATTAGGTTTTCGAAATAAATTTTCCTGCATATATCTACAGAATTTTCGTTTGTCTATATCACTCTCACTCGCACAGGCTATATAAAAGATTATTTCCTCAAGAAACTTCTCTGAGATTAAGTAATTTCGAATCTACAAGCATAAATTCGGGAGATTAGTAACTGATATAAAAAAAAATAATATTTTCGATTCACACTTACGCCTTGTATTTAGGAAATTTGTTGCTTAGAGCGTTATAAATTATAATTAAGGTATGTTTTATCGCCAATATGATACTGCGCCAAATTTTGTTGATGCTGAAAATCAGATGATAGGAAAGCCACAGCAATTTTACTGCGCTAATGAGACACGTGGATTCGATAATATTTTGCTAGTTATTTCACTGCGCCTATTATACACGTGATGATTGTCAAAGATTTTCTCGGTGAAGATCAAAATACATATATATCAAGAAGAGTAATATGTCCGTTTTATTTTGTAACATCTATAGAGGCAGAAAGATTGATTAACATTGTGATGACATGTTTCAAGAGGCTGAACAATAAAACCAATATACCTTTTATCACTTCGCAGACAATCTCGTTTATTTGGTTATGAATATTAATGATGTAAATATTGGTAAGTTTGTAGATTTTATTAGTTCACTTGATTTTTGCTTACATTTGTGCAAGACAAGATAAAAGTGTTCACTAACTATCTTGCCTTCTTTTTATATGATTTGTAGTTGTTCAAGAATTGAATTTGGAATAAATTCTCAGGGGAATTATGATGGTATCATGGAAAATCAGATCAATGGATTTGCTCAAAGACATAATAAAAGCCTTGATCGCTAACCATATGTGATCATGCCCCTTGGATTAACAAAGGATCTTTTTTTATTATTATTACGAGTATCTGCAAGAAAGTTCAAGAATATTACGTGTCTACAAGATGTTATAGTTAGTTTTTTTCTTTTGTTATATAGCAATCATCTCAACAATACCCATAACTATACTATGCGGGATATTATCATGTAAATATATTATGCTTAATACATCTTTGCTTTATTGATTGTAAATAAAAAATACATATCAGATCTTAGATCGGGATACAATGATATATGATAAAGTCTTATGCGTCTATTCTATCTACCTCCTGATACTCACTATATTTATAGTATCATCACTCTAACTTAATAGTCCATTTTATTTGTTTGCATTCGTAATTAGTAACGAGATCCTTGGAATAGAAGCTAAGTATTAGTCCCGATGACAAAAAAGGTGCTAAATCTCATGTCGCACAGTTCTACCTCCTTGATCGCAAAAAATCTCTAGTCTGATAGTTTTAACCAAGCTATATAGCATTTTTCTGATATTATACTGCGCATTTCAGGTGATCAGTCTCACATGATGGAGTTTCTATGCCACGATCACAAATTTGAATTTATTGCCTGAAGTGAAGCAAGTAAGACAATATTCTGTTCCATTTTTATACTATTCGCCATATAATCTATAATTTCCATGTTTTCCATCACAAATAGGGCATGGTGAGTTCCATAGTTGAGCGGATACAAAGTTATAATTATCAATCCCTCTGAAACTATTTTGGAATTTCAAGTATGGGAAGTGCTCTAAGACTGACTGGATAATTGATTCTGGATCGAGTCTGGCTTTGAAGGTGATAGGCTTGAAATCAGAGGCTTGAGGTAGTCCCAGCCGAAGGCGCTCAGGGCAAGGGACTGGTTCTGCTGACATATCTATCATAGCTTCTGATAATTGCCATGGCTCATTTCCAGTTTGTTTTTTATATCTTTTGTATAATTTGGAACGAATCTTATCCATCAAAATGCTTGGTAAACCACTTAATTTGGCATGCCATTCTAGATATTTGGGGGTTAGTATTTTATCAGACTCAGTTATTTTCCTTTTTATATGTCTGCAAACAATTTAAATCTCTGCCCCTTTGTTCAAGAACTGCAGGTAAAAAGGTTGAAAAAGAAAACCTATCTGTTAAGAAATATAACACTTTTCTCCCACCTCAGGTTAGCTATGCTAACGAGGGGGTGAGACTATGCAACTATCTCAATTTCACGCTGTTCACATTTAATAAAATAAGATCCTGCTTTATACCTACCTTCTATTTCTTCATCATCATGGCCTAATTTGCATAATGGGCAGATATAGTTCTCGCATGTTGTCTCATCAGTAATCCCATAATAGTCAAAATTTTCAATACTACATTCTTTATATAGATTAGGATATTGATCCAATATCTTGTTGCGAAAATAGGAATGATCGGGCTTAGATTGAGATGCAGATAATACATTTGTCAATGTATTAACCTCAGTTGATTCCAAAGCCAGTGAAGCATTTATAATTTTTTCTCTGGTTTCAGGATTTTTGGTTACATTATTTTAACCGGGACCCCTGGCTGAAATCTTAACTATATTGGTTAGTACTTCTTCCACATCAGTGTTATTGTTATCATTATGCTCAGATAAATTATCTCGCCTTCTGAGGCCTCTATGATATCTTGAACTTTATCATTATCAACTCAGAAATAGAGTTCGCACTATATGTAGTAATATACTTAATATTCCATACGCCTACCTTTTCAAATATTTTATATATCTTTACAGCTTTCTGAGTTTTCCTTTGTAAGTTTTTACGAGAGATTTCTGGAAGACGTAATCCTGTATCTTCAGATCGTTACTTTCGTAACATAGATAGGTGTTTCAACATTCTATCATAGATTATTCCCTTTACCTTTTTTCGCCTATTTTGCCTTTTCCATCTTGTACAATCACAGTAACTTGGGTTAAAAATTCCTTTTCATAATAATATCAGCGCAAAATCTCTTCCTGATTAGCACGAATTGCGCCATATTCAGCATCATCTGCTTTATCGAATAATTGTGCTAGAGAAAGCAATGAATTTTGGTTAAGGCTCTCAATTGAAATCACATCGCAAGGAATGGTTTTATCGCTCAATTAGGCATCATCCTTAATACTGTCAGCTATCAATTGTATGATGTTTTCTGCATCTTTTTTCCTATGGTTATTTTGGCCGTAGGCCCCAGCTAAAATTTTAGTCATGAGATTCGATACCTCCGGTCAGTGATGTACATTCTTGATGTCTCAGAGATTTGTTGTCTCAGCTATATGTCCTAGCTATATGTCCTAACCTGTCCCACACTATGTTTTAAAGGTCCTATCTGTCCCATCTATATCCCATCAGCGTCCTATCAGTGTCCTATCAATATCTTATAACAACACTGCCTCCGGTATCTTTTCAGAAGTGGAGCACCCGGTATCAGATTCTTGATCTTGGTTAAGAGATGCTTGCTCTGTTTTGCTAAGTTTCTTTTCCTTATTGCGTTGCTTTATTTCACTATTAACGATTTTCTTATGAGCCTCAAGCAAGAAACTATCCATCTCTTTCTTCTCTAATAGTTTTTCATGATGGACCACACCCGAATTGGCCGAAGACGCTAAAGTAAAGTTAGATGAGTTTTTGTTAGGGGTATTATCATTAGGGATATTATCATTTAATGTTTGCTTCTGTTCCACTTTCGTGAGTCTATCTCTAAACTCAGATTCCAACTCCTCAATTCTAGCCTTGAGTTTAGTATTCTCAGTGATACGTCTCGTTCTCTCTTTCTCAGTCAATCTTAGAGCCTCAGCAATCCTACATTTAAGTTCAGCTCTCTCAGCATCAAAGTTAGCGAACTTCATTCTAAGATCAGAATTCTCCTTTTTAAGTTCAGAAATCTTAGCATTCTCCTCCTTAAGCACAGCAATCTCAGTCTCATAATCAGCTATGATCTTAACATTCTCAGTCTCAAGTTCAGTGATACGCTGTTTCAATGATTCAAGCTCGGATGACATGATCTATATAAAACTAATATACTATATATAAGCATTCAAATAAAAAAAAATGCGGTACCACAAATTTTAATTATAAAAATGAGTATGAATAATGAACGGAGGAAAGAAATGTCTTGTAATTGGTTGTTAGTTAGAAAGACCTATTTTTGCAAAAAATCAGCACAAGATCAATATTGTGCATCCCACACATTCAAAATACGAAAGGGTGTATTAATCCTACAACCATGTAAAGGATGTGGACGAGACACTAAATCAAGCGTTCAGCTTTGTGTCCAATGTGGACAAGGTAAGGAAAGAGCATACATATATTATAAAAAGAAGAATATAGGAGGAAATGAGTAATTAAACATACTATTTTCATAAGTACTAATCATCTATTATCACTTTCATAAATGCTAATTTCA